GTTGATACTCCTGGCAAAATATCGTTTCCATTGTTATTTAACTTCTAATTGGAACGAATAAATTGAAATATCCTTAAATTGCACGCAGTTTATAAAGTAAGATGAATTTTAACTTCACTTTAGAAACATTTTAATTTTAATTCTACTTTTTCGAGCTCCATAGAATAAGGTATGAATTGCAAAGTACAATGGGAAACTAGTAAACGAGTTTGAGGTAGCAATCTTTTTAGCCTTCCACACTAATTACTGTGAAACGAAAAGGACGTACAATTTTGAATTGAAAATAATTTTCCGAGTTTAGAATAATATTCGAAGCAATATTTTATATTTAAATTAATAATATTTAAAGTGAACAATACGTGGGAAAATTATATTCTTAATTTTTGTTTTGTTTTTCAATTATGTATTGTTAACTGTTTTAAATTCATCAACAAGCCAAAATATCTTAATAATAATTTTTTAATAAAAGATTTTAACATTATCAAATAATAAGATTAAAATGTCACGTATAGTAAATTCATTTTTAAAAATAAATACATAATAATGAATACAAGAGAGTAAAATGTTTTTATCTTTGCATAAAAATAATATCGAAATGCCAATATTATTCATATAAAAGCATAAGAAATATTTGATGCTAGATTTTACTGTTGTAATACATGTAACTTTCAAATAAAATTATCGACTTTTTTTATTACATACATAGAAAATTCATTTTATGTTACTACGTAACTTATTAAATTAAAACTTTAATATTCTACAAAGCAAGGTGACTAAGAAAACACTAAATCTTAAAGTTATGTTCAAGATACAAGTTAGTCCTAATCTACTTAAATTATCTATAATTACAAACTTTTAGTATCTGCTGACACAAACTTAAAATGATACTTTTTAAGGATACGAATCTTTGGTATAAATACATACTATGTTCGAATAAGGTTCGTGTATAGAGATATGTATTTCTAAATTATAAATTATACAGATTAATTATCATATCACATGCAATTGTGTTACACGCCAACAATTATGAAACAACAATAGCTCAAAAATTATAGCTTCTTATCATAAAATAAATCAAACTACATATTTTAAATGAAAAGATAATTTAATATAGTTAAATATGAGTTAACTGTAACAAAAAATTTTATTACTAACAAAAATTTACCATATCAATAATTTTATCATCGATTCTGAGGAAATTCTGTACCTAATTTTGATGAGAATTACTATGAAATTAGTATAATAGTAGCTTTTTTTACATATATATGTAACAGTCAATGTTAACAACAATATTAGACACAATATTACATTAATAAATAGTAAATGGTAATTTTCAAATATTAGACACAAGAATTTATTTATATGTATCGTACTAATTGGCTCAATGATTCCAGATGGCCTTTATCAACTCTTTGAAGCACAGCGATGTGAAATATAGCTATTCTTTTTAGTGTCTGAACACGTACAAGACGTTTCTGCTGCCATCTCAAAATCGCGAAATTACTAGAAGCATAGCAAAATAAAAAGAAATACGCACTACGTGGTCTTGCATAATGTGCAATGTACCATTATGGGTGAAGAAAATGGCTATGTTTTGTGAAATGCTATTGATGAACTTATTTCCATGGTATGAGTGAAGATAACCCACTTTATATTTAAATATGCAAGTAAAATTTAATTTTCTTCTTTAATTATTTTGTTAGTTTTAATTCAAATAAATGACTATGGTATTTTGCTACGTTTCTATTATTATTTTTCTGTTATTGTACAATTCTGTATCTCGAAGAGCTCATTTAAACCATTATAGTTAATTTTCTTAAATTTTCGCTATTATATAAATATGCAACATTATATATTAAAAAAAAATGATTTTCGAATATAGAAACATTTTGTAATCATTTTTAATGAAAAGAATTTTGTGTACCAAAGTTCTTTTGTCGTTGCAAAATCCTGTGCTCCAAGGAGTTAAATCAAACAATTATATTTAATTTTCCTAAAATTTCATTGTTACGTAAAAAATCAATATTATATATTAAAAAAGAAAAAAATTAATTTCAAATATAAGAGCATTTTTGTACTCTTTATAATAAGATGAATTCCATACACCTAAGCTCTTTCGTTGTAAAATCCTGTGCCTCAAAGAGTTAAAGCAGATTATTATACTTAATTTCACTAAAATTTCATTATTACATAAAAATTCACTATTACGTATTTTAAGAAATTATTTTCAAATACACAAAATGTAGATCTTTTGTTCAAAAGTCACGTGTATCACATAACGCATCCCACGAATCTGTTAACTTCCATTCGCACATCGACGTCTCCAATATTTTCAATAGTAGACATTCATTTACGCTGATTAAAATGGAACATCCACGATTACGCGGTTAATGAAATCGGGAGATATCACACCCGAATGAAAAGAGAAACAATTCATACGTGTAAACAAGGGACGTGATAATGAACCCCGAATTACTGGCAGCGAAGTCGAAGCGCGTGGAAAGCATCCGCCACGGTAAATGCATAATTACCGCTACCAAAATGGAAAGAAAGTGTCGTTCATGATTCTAGCGGTCCTCTCATCCTCGACAACACTAATTACAACGTCTCGGGTAAAAACCATCGTTTAAAACGAAAGTTCTCTAGAGGTAGTGATCTAGTGTCTGTCGCACGAATAATTATACAACATCCTTTTTCTTTTTTTTTTTTTTTTTTTTTTTTTTTTTTTTGAGCACGCTTCATGTAACATCTAAACGAGAGAATGTAAAGAGCAATAAAGATACAGGTGTATATAATTATCATCCTTGTTGCGGCTATAAAAATAACTTTGAAATATGCTTGGAGCGTACTACGTACTACTCTGACCTACTGTGTCCACCATGTTTTATAATTATAAACCTGGTTAAGTCAATAACAATATATAAGCGTTGTTTTATTATCGATTTAAACAGAAGTTTGTGTGCGTATACAAATTTTCCAGTGTTACAATTTTGGCATTATACGTTAATACTTATTTATTATTATTAATGGTAACAGTGATTTTTAATTAGAGTATATTAATTCGATTTTTATTTCGATTTTCTTTCATAAAGAATTGCTTTAGAATGGTGAAAAATAATAACGTAATAAATCGGGGAGTGAATATAAATATATGTAAACAAATATATAAAGTATGCAAAATATTATTTTTCAGAGTATTGAAATTGATCAATTTTCATTAATATTGGTACTATTTAAGAATAATATTCAGAATTATGCTAGAGCATCGTGACATTGTTTTCTAAATATTAATACATCGATATTCAAGGAGTAAGCTAAATTGAATCATAAGAGTATTAACATATAAGACAATTACCAATTTTATTTCATGCTCAAAGATTGGTAATATTTTCGCTTTGGTTTATGTAACTTCGATATTATTGAAAACCATATATTCATAAGAATACGTGCTGTGAATTATATCAAGGTACTCTAAATTAAAAGTAACAATGATTATTTGAAAATTACATTTTTTACATTTTTGGTACATTGAACTCATGATGTTAATTAAAATTGATTGTAATATTAACAATTAGTATTGCTAGTCAATTATACGTTAATATCGTATGATATTTATTACTGTATACATATATATTACTATTGCTATGTTATTATTATATTACTGTATATTATTACTTACATGTATATAATAATATAAATATGTCATATATCGCTATACAACAGTTACCAACCTAGAACGTATAACTAACAATAAATACGTATTATACATTTACTGACAAAAATTAACAAATAAAGTAATAACAATGAACTGACAAAACTAAGGAATAAAGTAGAAAAGAAATAATGATTTGTGAATTTTTGCATATTCTTCATCTTTTCTCGAATATTTTATAAATTATATTTTCAATTTTGGCTTTTAAAGTATTTTTTTAATTTTACGTATCTCACCTACGTATCTCGGAAGACAAAGAATTTACAAATATTCGCAAATCGTTATTTTAATTTTTAATCTTCGTCAGCAAGTGGATATGAATGGAAATAATCAAAATATTATCATAAAGGTAGATAGTTATACATAATCATGTTACTATATCTATAAATGTCAAAATTAATTTTGCCAGAAGCAACTACATATTCTGAATAATTTCTAAAATAAAATAAAGGAAATATTCCATTTTAACGGGTTCATTAATTCTAATATTAACAACGTATATCCTTATAAGCAGAATTTTATATTTATCTAAAGATTATTTTTTAAACGACAGGCACAATGTTGACATATAATTTTCATGTAACACCGTATAAAAATATTGCACGTATGTATACTATTTCCTATTCTGTTTCAGATACCATGTCTAGGAGTACACTAAGAGAATATTTCACGATCTCGCAAGAAAATTATCGATTCGTCGTCGATAACTGAAAGAAAAAGATCACCATCAATTACCCACAGAAGTAGGACATATATACATAATGTCACGATCACCTCTAATTTACAATTTCCATGACTGTTACATCTGTTTCAAATACGACTACACTCCACACACGTAGTGCAGCTTCCTCATAAATACAGTTTAACAAAAACCAGTGAACTTTGTCACAAAATTCCACGCGTCATCGCCAAAAAAAAGCAAAAAGATAAAAAAATAAAAACGAAAAAATTAGTGTAAAATTCACCGTTAGACACGATACATATCCACGTATGTGTACGTGTACGTGCACTGCTCGTGAGGTCAAATTGAACTCTGAAACAATCGATAGAGCACACCTTTTATAAACCGTACGATATTTATACGAGATTTATACACGACGAAATATCCTTTTGTAACAGCCATAAACTCGGATTTTTCACAAACGACATTTTCCATCTACGCTTCGTGTCTGGGACCAATTCATAGACGTAGGATTCTTCGCCTTGAGTGACGTCCGTCTGCGCGAGAGATAAATGTTTATACCACGGAAATGATCGATCCGTATTAGATGTAGATCGAGCAGGAGCATCGCGATAGTCGAGGAATACTCACGACAAATCGTGGAACGTATGACAGTTACACGTCGCAGAGAGGATTTCTCGTTCCGTTGATACGAATGAGAAGAAGAAGAAGGTGGGAACACAAAAGTGCATCGTTCTTCAAAAGCATCAACGTCGAAGAATGTAATTCGCATCGAGTCACGAGGAATAGGGAGTCAAGGAAGCGTGTATCTTCCGCTCGAAACTGCGCGCGGTGCAAGCTTACCGGATAAAAAGGCAGGCAGAGGGAAAAAAGGAAAATGCCAGGGGGAACTTCGACGCGAGAGAGCAGCGAGGCGATCCGGATGGAGCCTTTAGGTAGAACCTCGAGTTCGCGGAGTCCCGGGCAAAACGGAACTGCCAACACCACCACCGAGGTGCCGATAAATTCAGGTGAGTAAAAATCCACTTGTAACGCGAAAGCACGTTTACTACTCTCTTTAATGAGTCAACTTACCGCTGAAATCTGCACTACAGTACCGAGGACTGAACTGCTAGGCTGAAATTTCATTAACACGTTGGGAAAGGAGAATGGTACCGAGGGTAGTGCATAACGCTGGTAAATGAGTATTTTGGGGAATTTTACTTTCTAGGTGAGGCTGTGATGCTTCTGTGCAGTCCGCAGGATTTTTAACACTTTGCACTCGTTGATTTTTTGACTAGGGAAGAATAAAAATTCAATGATTTTCTGCTATAAAGCTGATGACATCTTTTTAAGCTGTGAACGAGATATCGTATAATAATTAACACGTAGAATTGTTTAATTTCAATAGCTCGTACACTCTTACATTATACTAAACTTGATATATTAATTAACATCGATCTCCAAAATTTTGCTAAATTGTGACTGAAGGTCGCCTCTCGAGTGCAAAGGGTTAATGGGTGATTTGTCTCGAATTTCGTGTGAATAATTTAAAGCTGGAATTTGTGCTTGTGTTTGGGGGTGCTTAGAGGAAGATTCGAAATAATAAAATCTAATTAACTTTTTTCCTACATTTGACAGATTTGTAAATTTATAATTGATTCCTCTTTTAAGACAGCTTATTGTTAAACTCTGCATGGTGATATAGAAGAGTGTTAGATTGAAACATTAACACGTTGGGAAAGGAAAATGGTGCAGAGGGTAGTTTATAACGCTGGTAAATGAGTATTTTGGGGAATTTTACTTTTTAAGTGAGGCTGTGATGCTTCTGTGCTGTCCGCAGGATTTTTAACACTTTGCACTCGTTGACTTTTTGACTAGGGAAGAATAAAAATTCAATGATTTTCTGCTATAAAGCTGATGACATCTTTTTAAGCTGTGAACGAGATATCGTATAATAATTAACACGTAGAATTGTTTAATTTCAATAGCACGTACACTCTTACATTATACTAAACTTGATATATTAATTAACATCGATCTCCAAAATTTTGCTAAATTGTGACTGAAGGTCGCCTCTCGAGTGCAAAGGGTTAATGGGTGATTTGTCTCGAATTTCGTGTGAATAATTTAAAGCTGGAATTTGTGCTTGTGTTTGGGGGTGCTTAGAGGAAGATTCGAAATAATAAAATCTAATTAACTTTTTTCCTACATTTGACAGATTTGTAAATTTATAATTGATTCCTCTTTTAAGACAGCTTATTGTTAAACTCTGCATGGTGATATAGAAGAGTGGTAGATTGAAACATTAACACGTTGGGAAAGGAAAATGGTACCGAGGGTAGTTTATAACGCTGGTAAATGAGTATTTTGGGGAATTTTACTTTTTAGGTGAGGCTGTGATGCTTCTGTGCAGTCCGCAGGATTTTTAACACTTTGCACTCGTTGATTTTTTGACTAGGGAAGAATAAAAATTCAATGATTTTCTGCTATAAAGCTGATGACATCTTTTTAAGCTGTGAACGAGATATCGTATAATAATTAACACGTAGAATTGTTTAATTTCAATAGCACGTACACTCTTACATTATACTAAACTTGATATATTAATTAACATCGATCTCCAAAATTTTCCTAAATTGTGACTGAAGGTCGCCTCTCGAGTGCAAAGGGTTAATGGGTGATTTGTCTCGAATTTCGTGTGAATAATTTAAAGCTGGAATTTGTGCTTGTGTTTGGGGGTGCTTAGAGGAAGATTCGAAATAATAAAATCTAATTAACTTTTTTCCTACATTTGACAGATTTGTAAATTTATAATTGATTCCTCTTTTAAGACAGCTTATTGATAAACTCTGCATGGTGATATAGAAGAGTGGTAGATTGAAACATTAACACGTTGGGAAAGGAAAATGGTACCGAGGGTAGTTTATAACGCTGGTAAATGAGTATTTTGGGGAATTTTACTTTTTAGGTGAGGCTGTGATGCTTCTGTGCAGTCCGCAGGATTTTTAACACTTTGCACTCGTTGATTTTTTGACTAGGGAAGAATAAAAATTCAATGATTTTCTGCTATAAAGCTGATGACAAACGAAATTGTCAAATAATGAAATTTAATTAACTTTTTTCCTACATTTCACAGATTTGTAAATTTATAATTGATTCCTCTTTTAAGACAGCTTATCACTAAACCTTGCACGGTGGTATAGAAGAGTGTTAGACTGAAATATTAACACACTGGGAAAGGAGAGTGGTGCAGAGGGTAGTTTATAACGTTGGTAAATGAGTATTCTAGGGAATTTTATTTTTTAGGTGAGGCTGTGATTCTTCTGTGATAATCTGCAGGATCTTTAATAGGTAATTTGTTTCGAATTTCGTGTGAGTAATTTAAGCTGGAATTTATGCTTGTGTTTGGGGGTGCTTAGAGGAAGATTCGAAATAGCAAAATTGTCACGAGGTATGAATTAACTTTTTTTTTAAATTTTTTTTCTTTAAAGATTTGTAAGTTTATAACTGATTTTTCTTTTAAGTCAGCTTATTGCTAAACTCTGCACGGTGGTATAGAATAGTGTTAGACTGAAACATTAACGCGTTGAGAAAGGAGAATGGTACCAGGGGTAGTTCATAGCAGTGATAAATTAGTATTTTAGGAAAATTTTATATTTTAAACGGTACTATGATTTTTCTGTGGTAATTTATAAGATTTTTAATAGACACCTGTGTTGTGAATTATATTTCAGCGATTTAAACTGGACGCTTTGTTATGAATTGCATTTCAGTAGTTTAAGCTAGATTTTATGCTTCTGTTTGTGGATGCTTAGAGAGAGATTTGAAATAGCAAAATTGCCAAAATAAGGGAAGCAATTTTTTTTTCATTCATAGCTAACATTTGATATACTTCTATGTTTATGATTAATATTTATAACTAGTCTAGTGGATTAATTTAGTAACTAAATATTTTAGGGAAGTAATTCTTAAGTAATTTGCAGAATTTTGTTATAGATACCGTGTTATGAATTATGTTTTAGCGGTTTAAGCTGGAATTTGAGTTTCTGTTTAGTGGTGCGTAGAGGGAGATTTGAAATAGTGAAATTGAGAATAAGTATCAAGCAACTTCTTCTTTTATTATTATCTATTCTTTATTAACTTTTCTTGTGAGTCAACTTACTGCTAAACTTTAAATGGTAATATAGTGGACTGGCCTGCTGAGTTTAAATTTCATTAACGCGTTGAGAAAGTAGAATGTAATTGGAAAGTAGAATGAAATAGTAGGTACCAGAGGTACCATAACTATAGTAAATAAATATTTGGGGGATTTTAGTGGTTTAAGGTGGAATTTATGTTTCTGTTTGAAAATGCTTCGCGGGAAATTTGAAATAGTAATACTGTCGAAATATATCGAGCAACTTTTTGTCTGACTTATATCTAATAACTGGCACATTTGTAGTTGGTTTATAATTAATTTGTTTCGTTAACTGGAAAATGATAAATTTTAGAGATATTTGACGATAGAACTACCGATTAATATTTTATATCTAAATATACTGTACGAAGATAATTACAGTTCGAATGATAAAATGAAATGAATAATATAACCAAATAATACAATAACTTTGTTAAGAATACCTGTTTGTTTCGGATATTTTACTTTTCCATCAACAATAAATTGTCATTCGTGTACAGTATATTTTACTGCTCATTACAAGTCAATAGTTTTAGCGTTAATATTGGGTTGGCAAGAAAGTATTTTCGGTTTTTTAGTGTGAAATAAAACCCAATTTTTTCTATACAGTAAATGAACTTTAATCGGTCAAATATCTTCCATTCTATTCGATGACCTTTTGCCATCTTTCTGGTAACTTCATGATCCCGCGTTCATAGAATTTCTGGTCCTTATCTGCGAAAAACTTAACCAAGTGCGTAAATCTCAGAAGGTCGACCAGAACGTTGTGGGTATCTTTCAGTGAAAAATCTTCAGAACGAAATTTTTTAAACTAATTCTGACACGTGCGTTCTGTTAAACAATCGACACCATAAACTTCTCGTATCTCTTTGTGAGCCTCAGCCGCATTCTTGCCTTTATGAAAATAAAAAAGTAAAATGTGTCGAAAATGCTTATTTTTGCACTCCATGTTAAGACTGACCGTGAACTGACAGTTATAAACGAAATTACACGGAATTTCACGAAATAGCAAC